TCCTGGAGGGCCGCTGTCCTGCATGTTTTCCAAGTCTCCCTGTTGCAACACACCTGATTCAAATGATCAGATCATCAGCAAGGTCTGCGGAAGACTGATATTGAACCTGTTCATTTGATTCAGGTGTGTTGCAACAGGGAGACTTGGAAAACATGCAGGACAGCGTTTGACACCCCTGGTGTAAATGGAAGGTTTTGAAGAAAATGCACCGAATGACGGATGACTTGTTGGAACATTCACAAAAGGTTTGCATCAAGTCAAACGTCCAAATGAAAGGATGAACTCAAGCATTGCGCATTTGTCACGATCAGGCTTGTTCACGGTTGTCGTTCTGAGCGCTCCAAGTGGACCCTCCGAGCTCAGACGCAGATGGCAAAATGCATTCGGCGCGACATGCACACTTCAAAGATTTTCACTTTGGAGCATAAAGCCGATCAAATGCAGAGCAGTGAGCAAATCGATGGCCGGCCAAGATCGACTTACCGAGTGGATGAAGGCTGCAAGAGTGAAGAGTCTCTCTGCGGAGGCGGAGAACTGATGCTCGACTCGGAGATGCTCACGTATTTATCTGTTGATGGGTGGCGTGACAGGCGATCATAGAGGGAAGATGAGGAAGGAATTCTAATTGCTTAATTGCTGCAATTAAGATTTTTTTTTTAAAGGAAATAGTTGAAACTTTAATTGCAGGAATTAAAAAAAAAAAAAAACACCCTCAAATGACAGTCAAATCCTCTTTGTGTTCGGAAAGTTGTGGCGTGTCCACCATTTGAGAGAAATTTGCTTTCACTCTGTAATGATGTTTTGCAACTTGTCCTGAATTTTCCCACTCTGAGACTCCTGGAGGGTCCGAAATATCTGTCGGTCACTTCTGAATTTGGGCCGCCTTGGAGGAGCCCCGGTTTTGCTTCGGGGCTGTTTGAAGCATTCGTTTTTGTGGGGGTTCTTTTATTTGTTTGTTTGTTTGTTCCTTTCGTCCTCTCTGGAAGCCACTGCGAGTAACAGCAGCCCACCACTGGGCTCTCTCAACAATGTAGACTTGTTTTTTGTTTTTTTTTAGCTTTAAGCAATCTTTGGATTTGACCCGACGCTTTGCGCTAGCAATAGCTAGCTGGCATGCACAGCAGCACCGAGGCGCCGGTGTTTTGTGACTCACATAGCGCTGCTAGTCTGGGTCAGATCGACTTCCAAAAGGGTTTTCGCGGTTGCGCTGCAATTGGAACAAAGACGTTTCCTTGTTATTGTTCGACATATTCAACAACATCGCAAAAAGTGCCCCAAACCTGACCTCGGAAATGCCAAATTGAAGTCGTGATGATCCTGAATTGGCCCCCCGGTTTGGGGAATCACCATTGCATTTGGCTGGAAAGATTTGAAGATGATGTGGGTGCACAGTAGCGGCTCCATGTCGTCTGCCATGTTAAAGTTGGAATCGCTCTGGAAGGTGCACACCAGATTTCGGGAGCATGTGGCCTCTGAAAGGTGAAAACGGACAGCGGTTCGTCTCGACAACTGCACGTTGGCTGCCAGGGACAAATCGGCGCAAGAGGGAAACTTACCCAAGTGCGCCACGAGCACGCACAGACCTGCGAATGAATTGCCACCTTCGTCACAACTCTCCAAACTTTCGAAATAAAACAACCATTCACAACACTTCCCTCGGCGGCGCGCCTTACCTACGAGAAGAAGTAGCTTCTGCATCTTGTTGCTGGTGGTAGGGGGCAGGGGGGGAAGAATAATATCAATCCAAGCGGTCACCCCAATCGG